AATACTTCTATCCCAAAGCAGTAACCTCTTTCTCCTAACCATTAACTTATCCTCTCCAACAATTAACCTTCTTTTCTAAAGTGTCAACCTAGTTTCCTTAAATTAACTAAATATTAACCTTTTTTTCTCAATCACTAAACATCTTTCCCTAACGCCACTAATATTTTTTCCATAACCACTAATAATTTTTCTTCAATCATTAACCTTCTGTTGCCAATTCCAAACCTTCTTTCCTCAAATAATAATCTTATGTCCCTAATCATTAACCCTTTAACGCCTGCGGGACATATATGTCCCACTTACAAAAACCGCTGTAACTTTTTTAAATATTAATATTTTTTAATCGTAGTTGACTCCATTTCTTCAGAATCCGTCAACGTACCAAAAAAATAAAAGTAAACTACAGAAAATATTTTTAATGTAAAAAAAATAATGAAAAGTTTGTGCGGGACATATATGTCCCACTTACAAAAACCACTGTAACTTTTTTAAATATTAATATTTTTTAATCGGAGTTGACTTCATTTCTTAAGAATCTGTCAACGTACCAAAAAAAATAAAAAGTAAACTACAGAAAAAATGTTTAATGTAAAAAAATATTGAAAAGTTTATGCGGGACATACATGTCCCACTTACAAAAACTACTGTAACTTTTTTAAATATTAATATTTTTTAATCGGAGTTGACTTCATTTCTTCAGAATCTATCAAGGTACCAAAAAAAAATAAAAGTAAACTACAGAAAAAATTTGTAATGTAAAAAAAGTAATGAAAAGTTTATGCAAACAGGAAAAATCGTTTTAAGAAGTCGGTTAGCTCATGTGCAAATGCTAGAGTCTTCTTTTTCTTACCATTTACCTCTTTTCCCTAAATACTAACCACATTTCCCTAATCCCTAACCGTAATTTCCTGATCTCTTCACTTCTTTTCCTTACCACTAACCTCTTTTCTATAACCATTTTTAATTTTCTTTTTCTAATCATCAATTCTTTCCACATTCTAATAACTATTTCTGAACAATCAAACAAAAATCTAATCAAAAAAATTCCTAAACCCACAAATTATAAATCCAATCCTGTAAAATTGTTCCCAGTAAAAGAAATTGTCGAAAGCTGTAAATCCAGTATTAAAAGAAAATAAATAGTAATTCGAGAAAAATAGTTAAAGTAAAACCGAAAGGTATAAAATTGGAAATTACAGAAAAAGAAGCAAAAGAATGTAAAAGAGAGAGAAAGGGAGAGAGAGAGAGAGAGAGAGTGAGAGAATAAGAGGAGAGGGAGAGAAAAAGAGTAAAAGAGTGAAAGAGAGAAAGACAGAGAAAGGTAAGAAATTTTTTAAACTCTCTTAAAGAATCGTGGATGAACTATACAGTAGACAGAGAAAAGATTACCCAATTTTATAGTGAAACATCTATACCGGTAAAAGGATTGTCTGAACCAATCCTAAAGGTTAAAATGCTTTAAAATTTAAAAGAGCGGAATTGCTTCAAGTAGAATAAAAGAAACCAAAGATGTAAAATGTAGAGTCCTGATCCTTGAGCAAACTGTGAAATTAGAATTCTTAAACCCTCTTAAAACGGCCAAGATGAGGTCTTAAAATTTTAACATTTTCCCCTGATTTTCTTAGAAAGAAAGTAAAAAAAAAAGAAAAAGAAACACAAAAACCACCCCAAGTGTCTATAATATTGTGAGAGATCTCGCACAGTTTCGATAGAAAAGGGAAACTCAAATTATTCCATGTAAATTTTCAAAGGGACAATTTTATTTCATGACAAATTAATTTAACTAAATCGAAAATGAGAATCTTCTTTCTTTTTAATAAAAACATTATTATTATAATTAATTAGTAATTAGTTTTAATAAAATTCTTCCCAAGAGTTCAATTATTTTTCAGAATAATAAAATTTTTCACATGAATAAACTTACTTTCTCCAACTGGCAATTCGCCCTAAATACCAGGTGTCAATTTTAATTGACAATAATTTCCCAATAAACAGAAGACTATTTAAAAATTACAATTCTGATCGCGTCGAAAACTAAAAGTTCGAAAGCGGTAAAGTTTTCAAGAGGAGATTTGTTTGTGAAAGCAATAAATGACAAGAAACCGAAGACGTTGATCTCTCTCTCTCTCACTCTCTGGCAGCTTTTCTACAAACTAAAATTAAAGGTAGATGAGTGAATGTTTCAGCACCTGTTTGTATTGAAAGTGGATAAACTTGGTAATGCAGTTTTCATCGCAAAAGTTAAGGAAGAGTCGCGTAAGCATTGTCGATAAAAAAAAATAGCTGACGATATCTGATGACACAGAGAGTGGGAGTTAGTCGATGGACACTAAAGATATATAGAACTCGGGTAATCTATATGTATATACGTGGGTCACAGGTGTTGCATTTTGAAATTTTGTTCTTCCTGAATGAATAAATTCACCCCCCTCCTTGAAAACCATAGATTCTTTCTCTCACATTTCTATTTTTTTTTCTCTCCAAACGCCACAGAGAATCATAATTTCTACAAATATAAAATCGCAAAAAATTATCTTTTACCATCTCTGGGAAAATCAACCTGCACCAATTTTATTATTATTCTTCAATTTGCATTCTCTATTTTCCACTTATTAATTTTTTTTTCTTTTAAACATTTATATTCTATTTAATTAATTACTATAACTAGGAACAATAACTAACTTCTTACTACTCTTTTTAAATAAAATTAGCAATTTTAAAAATAATAGAATTTAAAAATTTTCTAATTTAAATTTTTGTTGAAAACACTAAATAATTTAAATTATTTATTTATTTATTTAAATAATGTTGGAGAAATTACAAATAATTGCAGAAATTCAATTATTAAAAAAAAATTCTTATAAAATTCAACTATAATCAAAATTTGAAAAAAAATTCTCTTAAAAATCCCAATTATTTTTATAAATAACAAAATTCTTCTCCAAAGTTCAATTATTTTCATAAGTGTAAAAAAATTTCTTGTCCTAATTTCAATTATTTTCAAAAAAATTTCTAATCTCAATGATTTTCAATATCTACTATTTTAATAAAATTTCCCAAAAAGAATTCAATTGTTTAAAAAACAATTTAATAAAATTGTATGTAAACATTTAATTATTTTCATAAATAATAAATTTTTTTAATGAATTCAAATATTATTTTCATAAAAAATAATTTAAAATTCTAGAAAATAATAATTGAATTAAAATTGAATTGAAAACAATTGAATTCTTATAAAGAACTTTACTATTTATAAAAATAATTGAATTGTTTTGAAGAATTTATTAAAATTTTAGGAAATAATTGAAATTTAAAGAAATATTTAAAAATATTTGAATTCATCCGAGTAATTCAATTAAAATTATTTTGAAAATAATTGAATTCCTTCGAAGAATTTTATTATTTTTATAAAAATAATTGAATTTTTTCGAAGGATTTATTAGAATTTTAGAAAAAATGGAATTTTTTCGAAATGTGTTAAAATTTTTAAAAAATTTGAATTTTTTTGAGGATTTCAATTAAAATTGTTTTAAAAATAATTAAATTCTTTCAATTTTTTTAAAATTTTGATTATGAAATTATTTAAAAAATTTATATTTTAAAATAAAAAATTTTGTAATTAGCGTAACAATAATAAATTGAATATCACGTTCAGCGCGTAAAATTTGCTAGTAAAAAAAATTACAAAAAAAGTGTTACTTTTAAATTTTATTTTTCAAAAAAAAAAAATAATCGGACATTGAATATTTTATCCACGTTTCGAGGGAACACTATAAAAAATATATTAATTTTCTCATATTAAATTTATCTCTCTCGTTCTCTCTTCTTCTCTCTAGATGATAATGGTTGATTGTTTAATAATGAGTCATTTTATTAATAAGGGACAATCGTGTTTTATGAATCTAAATTATATAAAGTGGGTTATTAGTATATGATGTTATTATAATGAAGCGTTAGCAAAAAGACGAAGTGAAGAGAGAGATCGGGCAATTTTCTAAAGTACCCATGAAGAATTGATAAGTACAAGAAAATTAAAGCCGACTAAATATTTAATTTCCATATTATTATTTTATATACGAATTTTATTAAAATTTCCCTCGTTGCTATTTTATTAAAAAAAAAAAAAAAAAACTGAACTTTCAGGATAATTAAAATCAGATAAATTCGAGAAATGAAAAACAAAACTAAAATAATAAATAATGAAATAGAATTCTTCCCAAATTGAATAAAATAAAAATTACCCTAATTAAAATACAATAGAACTCTTTCCAATTGAAATAAAATAATTAGAGGAAACAAATAATAAATAAATAAAAATTTCACCCCTATTTCACTTCACTTTCACTCCACCTTCATTAAATAATTATGAATTAGGAATCAAAATATTATTAACTAATTCAGAAGAAAAAGTCAGACATTTAGAAAAATGGAAATTAGTCAAAATATTTGAAATAAATATATTAATAGTAAGAACTGATTAATTAATTAATTTAATTAAATCAATTATGTAAATTACGTAAAAAATAAAAATTACAATATATTATTAAATTGCGGTTGCAATACAATGTACCTGTAAGAATAAAGTGCGCATTTTGTTAATATTTAGAGAAATTACCTTTTTCGATGTAGCAAAATGTTCACTATACATTCTACAAATGTAGAAAAATTTACCAAAAAGAAATCATTCATTACTAATAACATTCATTATTAATAATTAATTTCGCCTTTAAAAAAAATATAAACGTGTTAGTAATTACTGGTGAAACTATTAATTAATTATAACAACTAATTAATACTGTGTTTTGTTAAATACCAGAAAGAATATTATACGAAGAAAAGTAGGCTCAGAAATGAAATCAATATTAAATAATAAAGAAAATAGAAAGAAAAGAAAGCTAATAGAATTTTTTTTTTAAGAAGAAAATAATAGAAGAAAATAACTGCTAAATAAAATGTGTTTTTTAATCCAGAAAAAACACAAAAAAAACAAAATAACTAACCTCCACGTAAAGGCCTAGAAGAAAATGAACGTTGATTTCCTGTAACAAAAATAATATAAATCATAAAAAACCAAAATAATAAGAACAGAAGAAAAATGTCAAAGAGAAGAGATGAAGTTTAGAGAAGAGAAGAAGAAGAAAATTAGAATTCTTTTTTTTCCCCATCTTTTTCTTATTTTTTTTTTTTTTTTTTGAAAATAAGAAAAGAAATGACATGCGCGAAGAACATGTATTACTAATGCCATTTCCTGTGAGTTTTGCTATAAAGTCTCGTAAAAGAATGTAATCTATCTACGTCATTCGCATTAAGCTTCTCTCGCGTTCGATAAACCCCGCGACCTCTTTCTGAACATGAAACACATAAATTTTCTACGTTCCACGTAATATCGAGTTAGTGTTGTAGCACCAGAAAAATATTAAACCACAAAATATCGCAGGGTTTTCTTCTTTCTTTTTAAGGGAAGAAAATCGATAAATTGTAAAATATCATCATCATCATTTTATTTTTTAACAACACTGATCGAATTTACAGCGTTGGTTTTATAAATTGCGACTTATCTCTTCGGCGTAATGTTCCGAGAGTTGGGGATGTAAAATAATAGTTGGAGTGAGATGGGAGAATTTTTTTTTTTTGGTTTTGTATTTTTTTCTTTCACTTCATTTGAATTTTGCCCTATTTCACCTTTGGTGCATTTCACTTCACCTCACTTTCACTTCACTTTAATTACTTTCAGCCCACTTTCACTTCATTTTAATTTTTTTCACACCACTTTCACTTCACTTTAATTACTTTCAACACATTTTCACTTTACTCCATTTTACTTCACTTCACTTCAATTTTTTTCACACCACTTTCACTTCACTTTTATTACTTTCACCCCACTTTCACTTTACTCCATTTCACTTTCACTTCACTTTAATTACTTTCACTTTACTCCATTTCACTTCACTTCAATTTTTTTCACACCACTTTCACTTCACTTTAATTACTTTCACTCCACTTTCATTTCACAACACTACATTATACTTTTACCCCACGTTCACTTCACTTTCATTTCACTTCAATTAACTTTCATCCCACTTTTACTTTACTCCATCTCACTTACGCTTCACTTTAGTGTTATAGTTTATTAAAAAAAAGTGACGGCGAGTTGGAGTGAAGTGAAAGTAAAGTGAAGTAAATTAATAGAGTGTAAATCAAGTGAAGTGAAAGTGGGGTGAAAGTCAAGTGAAGTGTATTAAAATGAAGTGGAGTGAAAGTCAAGTAAAGTGAAACTGTGGTGAAGTGAAGTGAATGCAAGGTGAAAGTTAAATGAAATAAAGTGAAAGTGGAGTGAAATCAAAGAAAAGTGTAGTGAAAGTGAAGTAAAGTGGAGTGAAAGTGAAGTGAAATTAAAGGTTAGTGGAGTGAAGTGAAAGTTGAGTAAAAGTGGGGTAAAGGTCAAGTGAAGTGAAGTGAAGTGAATGCAAGGTGAAAGTTAAATGAAATAAAGTGAGAGTGGAGTGAAATTAAAAAAAAGTGGAGTGAAGTGAAACTAAAGTGAAAAATATGGTCCAACCCTGACTATATTCCTCTAGAAAATTAAAAATCAACTGAATACAAATGAAAACTGAGATGAAGTGAATTCATATTCACCGGTGAATATGAAGTGAAAATTACGTAAAACTGACAATAACTAAAAAAATACAACAGCATAAAAAACAGAAAAATCCAACAATATATAATAAAATTCCCCCAAAAAAATAAAAAAATCCTCTCATTCGAATTTTGACCCAGCACGTAAAATTGAATATAAAAAAGTGAGACCACAAAATGACCGAAAAAAGACAAAAAAAAATTCAGTGAGAAAGAAAAATGCAATAAGAACCAATTTGGAGAGGGAAGAAACAAAAAAAGAAGACTCCCTGTTCTCTGATCTTGATTCGAACGCCATCTGGGAGGTGATAAAGCGAGTCGTTTCGAAATTTTCAAGTGGGTGGCAAATGGACCCAAAGTTGGGAGGAAAATGGCATGAAAAAGGATTGAGGTTCAAGAGAAGGATACATAGGTGTGATCTCGAGAGGTCTCATAACACTTGGAACCAGGTGCTCTCCTCTATTATTGCTCCCAAGTCAACGAAATCGATTCTTACTGTACACGTATATATACATATATAGAATAAAACAAAAGAAGGGCAAAAAAAATATGTATTATTTATTGTTATCATTAATGTTAGTAGTACTTTATTATTACTAAAAACATTATTAATTATTCACAATATTATTATTAATAATAATAATAATAATAATAATAATAATAATAATAATAATAATAATAATAATTATAATAATAATAATAATAATAATAATAATAATAATAATAATACTATCAATTAATACTAATAATAATATTATTATCAAAATTCGTTATATTATAATTATTGTTACTATTATTATTAATTATGATTGTAATTATTAACAACAAGAATAATAATTCTGTTACATAATTATAAGGAATATTTCAAATAGAAAAAATTAATAACAAAAAAAAATCTACTCGTTTCATTCCCTGTTTTCGATTTGAGAGAATCGGAAAAAAATTCCAGACAAATTTTTTTTCTACTTTTCTGACGTTACACGCCGAGTGAGAAAGTTTTTCGATTAAAAGGGAGTAAAATCAAATGTGAGTGGGCACTCGAATGACAAATTACTAGCAGTCATGTATATAGATATATATATATTTATATATAGCAAACTGAAACGAGCAAGACAGTGAGAAAGTAATTTTCTCGTTTTGTGGTTTGTGCACTTGACCCGCGCACTCGGCCCACTATTCACTTCCGACGAATTGTAGACAGACTTTTTGATCAGTTCCTGCATTTGGAAATTTAGATTTGTGATATATTATTATTTTATGTATATGTATATATTTTATATAAATGCCGGATCATCAAATCGCCTCTAAAGTTGAATTAAGCTGAGACTGCAAATACAATAGGCATTGAATTTTCTATATCTGATCATAGACGATCGAACATGAATGACTGAATTTCAAATATGAAATGAAAGGATTAATAGTCTTGAGAAGTTCTCTTGGTGGTCCATTTCTCTCTCACTCTCTCTCTCTCTCTCTCTCTTTCGCTCTCTTGAAATTCAAGAGGAGTTTAAACTGTAATTCACGCCGAAATATTATATAATAACACTATTGGCACAAATAATGGTTAAACTGAATTGTTTCATACAAAAGCTGATTATTAAATGCAGTATCTATTTAGCACACAAACGTAATTAAAAAATTAAATCCATCTCAGAGAGAGAAATTATTTTGTTCTGTCGCAGAAAATAATTAGCGTTAAATTTAACGCTTAATTATTATTTAATTTGCGATAGAATAAATAATTTCTCAAGTCGGAAATGAATAATTATAATTTGAAAAGAACAAAAAGTTAACAAAAGTTAACAAAATTTAATAAAAAAGTTAAATTAACAAAAGTTAAAATATAAATTAAATTTAAGGTTATACAGGCTTCGGACTCACCTACTAAAACCTACTATTTACTACTTATCGAGGAATTTCAATTATTTTTAATACTATTTTAAATTAATTAATCGAAAAATTGAATTATTTTCACAAATAAAGTTTTCTATAAGAATTCAATTATTAAAAAAAAAATTTTCATAATATTTATTATATTTCAGCAAAAATTAATTATTTAAAATAATGTTTATAAAATTCTTCTGAAGAATTCAATTAGTTTTAAAAATAACAAAATTTTTCACATAAATTCAATTGTTTTTAAACATTTTAATAAAATTTTTCGCAATAATTCAATTATTTTCATAAATTATAAAATTCTTCGCAGAAATTCAATTATTTTTAAAAATTTTAATAAACTTTTTCAAAATAATTCAATACTTGTTTATAAATAATAAAATTCTTCCAAAAAATTCAATTATTTTTAAATACAATAAAATTCTTCTCTAAAACTCAATTATTTTCAAAAAATCTGAAAAATTCTCGTCAATATTTCAATTATCTTTATAAACAATAAAATTCTTCTCCAAAACTTAATTATTTTCAAAAATTTTAATAAAATTCTCGTCAAGATTTCAATTATTTTTATAAACAAATAAAATCCTTCTCCGAAATTCAATTCTTTTTAAACATTTTAATAAAATTTTTCGCAATAATTCAATTATTTTCATAGATAATAAAATACTTTGATGGAATTCAATAATTACTTAATTTTAATAATATTATTAAATTTCAATAATAATTTCTTTGCAACTATTCAATTTGTTTTTAAATAATTAAATTTATCGCAGGATTTCAATTATTTGTTATATAATTTTACAGGAATTGCTCAAAAAATGTAATTATTCTTAGAAGATTTAATTTTAGTTCCTCGAAAAAATCAATTATTTAAAAAAATGTTTTTTTAATTCTTCGAAAGAATTCAATTATTTACAAAAAAATTAGAATTTTTTACAGGAATTAAAATTTTTAAAATAATTAAATAAAATTGTTTGAAAGAAATCAATTATTTTAAATACAATTTTAATTAAATGTTTTTGAAATAATTCAAATATTCTTTTAGATTTTAATAAAATCCTTCCTAAGAAATCAATTATTTACATAAATAATTCCTCGAAAAAATTCAATTATTAAAGATAAATAAAAAAATTATTCTTGAAAATTCAATTATTTTGAGGAATTTTATAATGAAATTCATTGCAAAATTCAAATATTTTCATGAATAACAATATCTATCACAAGAATTCAATTATTTTTAAAAGTAATAAATTCTTTCTTAGAAATTCAATTATTTTAAATAATTCTAATAAAATCGTTCGCAAGAATTCAATTATTTTCATAAATAGTAAACTGCTTTTTAGGAAGGAATTCAATTATTTTTAAAAAAATTTAATAAAATGCCACACAGAAATTCAATTATTCTCAAAAACTTTAATAGAATTCTTTGTAAAATTTAATTGTTCTTAAAAACCTTTTAAAATTCACCGATTTTCAATATCTACTATTTTCATAAAATTTCCAAACA